ATTGTTTGACTATAAAATTTGGTTAGAATTTTACCAATTAATTAGAAGATAAAGGATCAAACGGGGTACGTAGATAGTAGTGTATATCATACAACTGGTCCTATGGTGTCAGTCGTACAGTCGGTGACAATTTTGTATTTTTGGTGAAAACCACAACTTCTTTTAAATGAGCATTGATGCAATTTTGATAAGCATCAAGCCTGTTTTTTTAGTATTAGGAGCCTAACAATTAACATCAATGTTCTCTGCTCCATATCTTCTGATTCACTCTCTTTTTAATTTTTTTTGCATTTATAAAAAATCTTAAATTGTGTCTATATTCAATTTCAATTAATTTCAATATGTGAATCTAATGTAGTACGATACGTTTGAAATGTGCAATATTTTAAAATGAGCATAAAGTAGTACCAAATGAGCATGCATAACTTACAAAATGAGTATAAAAAAATCATAAGCTCATTTGTGTATGCTCATTCATTTTGAGCGTTATACTCATTTTAGTTTAATCTAAAACTCATTTCTAATGTGTTTAATTTTCATTTGTGTGCGTTCATTCCTTTTAAAGGAATGAACATACACAAATGAAAATAGAACACATTAGAAATGAGTTTTAGATTAAACTAAAATGAGTATAACGCTCAAAATGAATGAGCATACACAAATGAGCTTATGATTTTTTTATACTCATTTTATAAGTTATGCATGCTCATTTGGTACTACTTTATGCTCATTTCAAAATATTGCACATTTCAAACGTATCGTACTACATTAGATTCACATATTAAAATTAATTATAATTGAATATAGACACAATTTAAGATTTTTTATAAATGCAAAAAAAAAATTAAAAAGAGAGTGAATCAGAAGATATGGAGCAGAGAACATTGATGTTAATTGTTAGGCTTCTAATACTAAAAAAACAGGCTTGATGCTTATCAAAATTGCATCAATGCTCATTTAAAAGAAGCTGTGATTTTCACCAAAATTACAAAATTATCACCGAATGTACGGCTGACACCATAGGACCAGTTGTATGATATACACTACTATCTACGTACCCCGTAAGATCCTTTATCTTCTAATTAATTGGTAAAATTCTAACCAAATTTTATAGTCAAACAATTAAGTTCTCCTTTTGCATAGCACTTCAATTATAAAGTCTAAATTACTCTTTTTATTGTGCACATTTAGATTATATTGTTGTAGTTTTAAGTGTCACGTGTACAGCGAGGAAAATATTCTTTTGAATAAAAACTAGACAGATATAGCCAAAAAATAAGGTGATAGGAATTGCTATCTTTCTGTTTGATCGATTTCATAGAGTCCTCAGGCAAGGTATGTCATCTTTTTTTTTATTATACATGTCATTTTACACTGGTTGAATTGTTTGTGCATAGTCAATTTTTTCTGTTTTGTGAATAAAATCTTTTTTCGCACCAATAATTTTTTGTGCAGTGGTTCGAATTGTCAGTGCGAAAAACTATTCTATTCACAAATCGAAAAAATTGTTTGTGTACAAACAATTTGGTCAGCGTGTAAAATGACTTTTACAACTTGACATGTAAAAATAAAATTTCTCATCTTGATTTGATTAAGAACCTATTGCTATAAATTAAATATTGATGGGCTATCTTTATTTGATAAAAATAAAGAATGATACCTCATCCCTGAGGAATCCAAGAACTGACCGGACAGTTATTATCTGAGATAATGTAAGTTGAGCTTAATCACACTCTAATGAAAGGAGAGTGAGATTCCATATCAAGTCATTGCTTGAAGTTGAACTCAGAATCTCTCCCTTGTGCCACCCTTTTCTTACCAAGTGGGTTACGCCCTTGCTATCTTTATTTGATCAAGAATCATGTCGAGCAGGGGGCGGACCCAGGAAACTTACCTTGGTGGGGGTTGTGGACTCAGTGATGTATCTGGCATTTTTTTGAGTGGTGGCTAACTTAGACTATAACTTAGTTACAAATTTCACAAATAGCAAATACAATAATAATATTGTTTCATTAGATTTAATTTAAGTTATAAATGTACATGTATGTACAAAAAGAAGATCAATTTATATTGCATACGTGCAAAGATGAATTGTAAATAAAATTTGAGAAAATTACCTAAATAAAAGTTAAATTCAATGATGTTTTTATTCTTTTTTTTTATTTTTGAGAGGTTTTTTTATTCTATTAATAGGATTACGTAAATCCTATGTTTAGTGAAGAAAATATCCTTTTTAGATTTTTCCATATGTTTAACTTCCATTTTGAACAATTTCCTATAAATTTTAGATTATATATATATATATATATATATATATATATATATATATATATATATATATATATATATATATATATATATATATATATATATATATTGTATAGGGGCAGAGTTAGGGTTGAGGGGAGAGCAACTGCCCTCATTGCCCCCACAATGGATACACCCTCGCTGTAGTTAAACTGAAGCATTGAAAATTGAAATGGTACACATCAAACAAAAA